GTAAACATGAACAATATTGAAACTTCACGATATCATCATATTTATATATTAATAGTCTACTAAGTTAATCGTTATGGAAATACTATTTTATAAAATTGAGAATGGAAATGGGGAATATGTCAAAGAGACAACAACCCGACCAAAGAGCAGATAACAGCCGAAGGCCACCAATGGGTCTTCAACTCAGCGAGAAAATCCCGCACCCGGAGGTGGTCCTCAGCTGGCCCCTAAATAAAATTGTGTACTGGTTCAGTGAAAATGGACGTCACACTTAACTCCAAAACATATAAAGGAACTAAAATAAAAAAAAAAAAAAAAAAAAAAAACATACAAGACTAACAAAGGACAGAGGCTCCTGACTTGGGACAGGCGCAAAAATGCGGCGGGGTTAAACATGTTTTGTGAGATCTCAACCCTCCCCCTATACCTCTAGCCAATGTAGAATAAAGAAAGACATAGCAATACGCACAGTGAAACTCAGTTTACAAGAAGTCCGAGTCCGATGTCAGAATAGGTAACAATATTAGTTTGGATTAAATTCATCTCTTTTTAATAAAAAATCTATGAAAAATTGGACAATTTTAGTATTCTTGTTATTGATAAAGCATATCGTATGAGGACATAAAACTGACAAAATTTAATGACAAGAAATTAGTATATTGTGGCAAAAACTAAGATTTTATCATAAAACCTCAGTAACTAGGAAACCGGAAAATTGTTCAAATGTAACATTTAAAATTTAATTTAAAACTTAACACACATGATTGTTTTCGGAAAGTTTCATAGCCAGAAATAACTATCTTCAGTAAAACACTAAGATTTTTTTATCAGGAAATCTCAGAAAAACAGGAAAGCGAAAATCTGTCAAATATAATGCAAATAAAGATTTTGTTGTCAATATACTGAATAAGTTGAAATATTTAAGTACTGGTCCATATAAAAGCCATGCAAAATGATTCATGAGTGGAAAGACTTCAAATAAACGTTTTTGATATTTTCTTTAGGATATGAAAGGATGTTAAAATTCATTAAAAATTATATATGGACCCAGATGAGACATGTAATTCTATAGAAAACATTATAAAACTCATGTTGAGGGAGATAAATCCAATAATATTATCCTATAAATAATAATGTAAAATGTATGCTAATTATCTGTCATGTAATGAAGTAAACGAAAGTATTACTCACTTTCCTTCATCGACACCCATAATGCAACAGTTTGCCACAACAGTAATTGTGTAGCCTTTCATGAAGTGTATCACTAAAGGAGTAGGCCCAGTAAGACCCCTTTTTGACCCCAAAATATAGCAGTTTAACAAAATTTTTAAATTGTAAATTTTTAGCTTTTAATTGGAAAGGGGAATACTTCTGTTACATAAATATGGGCTGTTTTTGACAATACAATGCACATGTATCGGGTACTAGCATAATTAAGTCATGTTAAATTACTGAAATCTTCGAAATTTTAGCATTTTGTTTAATTTTTAGACGGTTTCATTCTAAAATGGAAGTGGCCGCATTTGTGTTCATTCTTAATATTTAAATGTAAGTTGTATTTGATGATAATACATAACATATATAAAGGTTGAGAATGAACACGGATGCGGCCACTTTCATTTTTGACAAAAACCATCCGAAAAGTGACATATTATGGCATATTTGATAGATTTTTCATATTTAAGCTTGCATTTGAGCGTCTTTAATGACTAAATCAGTTCAAATCTTTCACATAAACTAATTGAATCGACTGAAGTAGACACTTAAGTGTTTAAAAAGTGTCCAAAATCTTTCATCAGATGAATCTGAATTTTTAGGCCAAAATCGGCCCTTACCGGACCTACTCCTTTGAATTTTGCATGATTATTATATGGACCACTACTTAACTTCTCTAGTTATATTATAAACAATATTGTTGATATATATATATCTTAGTCAAAAGCTTCCTTTTTTTTAAATCATCCAAAACATGAAAAGTAAATAAAATGTATATAATGATTCTGTCGAACCTAAAAATCAACGGACACTAAACAGAGATATTAATGGGTTCGTTAGTTAATAGATGATTTGTGAATAAGGTCCCAGAAGTTTCATCTTTTGTCGTAAATCATTTGTTGAAGTGTCCTATCAGTTACACATTTCACGACTTCGATCAAAACCACCGAATTTACAGTTACTTTAAAATGAAAGTATAAATATAAAATAAGGTGATGTGATATGATTGCCAATGATTCAGAAATAACTATCCACCAAAGATCAAATGACGTGGATTTAAGCGACACTATTTGCCACCATACGGCCTGCAACAATAAGTTAAACTCATACCGTAAGGTCAGCTGTTAAAGACCCCCACGTGACGAAATATGAAACAATTCAAACGGAAAAATTAGCAGCCTTAAATATTATGACAAAAAAAATAAACGAGACAGACTCCTGATTTTGAACTTATTTCCTGTTATACTACATACATCTATTCTATCGACAAATTCGTGTCCAAAACACATTCCTTGAATCTATTTTTCATTTCAGTTAAATTCTGACAGCCTTAAGTTTTTCTGAACATTTACTAAATAATAAATACTGCATTAAAGGTCTATAAACTACTAGAAGCTTGACCATTGCAAAAATTGATTATTTATCTTCCTTAATGAAAAGGTAGGATATTCCAAACAAAATCAAGATACCTGCCCATTGCATCTTTAAATAAAGTTTAATTGTACTTTTGTTTTATAAATATGTTCTTCATGTATTTCCATAAACATGAATAATGGACCGTTATACCTAGAAAGGTGTTTCAAACACATAAAGGTTTTATTTATGTTTATGGAAATACATAAAGAACATATTTATAAAAAAAAATACAATTAAACTTTATTTAACATGTTTAAAGGTGCAATGGGCAGGTACCTTGATTTTGTTTGGAATATCCTACCTTTTCATTAAGTAAGATAAATAGAAACTTAACATAAAGATATAACAAAAATCAAAATGATACAATTCAAAAATGACTTTGCAAGCGACCTTCGTTTGTTCGCATATAACTTTTTTCAGCCAAAATTTGGAAGGAAATACATTAAGCGGTTATGAGCATCGACATCTAAACAGAAGAGCTAACACAGTTGAAATTCGTTTTAGTTTCTCTTCGAAAAATATGTCAGATATCGAAATAATCAATGATTTTAAAAGATGAACCTCTTTCCATCGTGTAATCAGGAAATATATTAGATAAGCGAGTTTACTTTGCTATTCGGTTAAGAACTATGTCAATATAACAACAGTTAGTTGTATTGCAACATATTAAAGAATTTGTAAAGCAACACGTAACCTCTATTCACACACTCCTTACAATCACCTTATAGTTGGCAACATATGTATTTATTATCATAGATTATAGGCCCGATTTAGATAAGTACGTTATATAGCAGGTTTTGCGTTAGTTTGCAACTCTCAAAATTTTAAAGTTACCTATAAACGTGCTGAACAATTCGGTGTTATAGGTCACATCCATTAAAATCAAATTAAAGAGTTTACGGAATTTTTTATTATAAACCTTCAATAAAAGACCTATAATTAACTCTGTTGAAAGATGAACCCAAACTTGACGATTTTAGTTTCAATATTTCAAAGCAATATTTTTAATGCATTGAATAGATAGTCTTACTATCCTATTTGCTAGTGTAATAATATTTTTTTTCTGCTGCAGTCCAAATTAACCAAAATTCTTTCAGATTCATAACAAATGGTTCATTACTTGCAAAACAATATTTATTTGATATTTCTACTTGTGCCCTAAAATAAAAACTTGATAGAAAAATGATTAAACCGCACATATTTATAAAATATTGCATTTATGATCCTTGAAAAAACACTAAATGTACTTGAATTAAGGATTAGTATTGACAAGAAATTCTGTTAAACAGCTTGACAACTTGAGACCGGTAGCAGCTGACTTGGTCATATGTCAACAATTTCCATCGAACTTTGTTTAAAGAATTACGCTTGAAATACACCTTGTGCCAGGAAAGAAACTCAGATCATTTGGGATATCAACTTAATATAACGATAATAATCAAACAATAGTGTAAAACTAAAAACAGTACTAAACATCTATCAATCAATCAATCAACAACAGTAGTTGTGTCAATGCAATTAATTACAGAATTGGATTTTTAATAGCAATTCGATTATTATAAATATAAACAAAAAATGTGTATATCACTGACTTAAGTAAATACTATCTAAACTGTTACGGGAACAGTTATGTTCGAATATAAACAGATAATTTTAAAATTATCATACTTATTGTTTATCTATATCAATACAAAGTCTTCATCAAGAACTGTAATGTAGTTTTCATATCGGCAGGTGAATTACTTTAAGCTTGCTTTTAGGAACTGCGAGCATTACTTGTTACGGCACTGTGCCTTATTGTTTTGCTTGTACTTGTCTTTTTGTTACATGTATCTGTCATACCGGTATTATATAATTAAGTGCTATTCTCATTCTTGTATGTACCATTTGCATTTTCAATTATCGACCTTCAAGGGTAAGGATGAAGTCGGTGACTCTATGTTATGATTATTTTATATCAATCAAACGGAAATTTACTTATCAACTGCATATTAAATTTTAGGAAAAATATATAGTGGTATTTGGAGATTTCATGATTTTAAGGCACCTTTAAGAATGTTTTCCGCCGATTTTATATGCTTTTTATACCAATCTATTTTGAAAGAACTCATTCAATAATATTCCAGAAAATAAAACTCTCTCTCACACTTTTATAGACTCGGAACGATTTAGACATCGACATATTGTATAGACACCTGTCCATTGTTGAAGACTGGATGCCTCCATCTTTATGTCTTTTGGTTATTTTTGTCATCGGGTTGCTGTCCCTTTGGTGTAGTATCGCCTTATCTACTTTTATTTAATATTTGGTGTAAGTTTATTTTTATGATCTTTATAGAAGCCATATTTTATCTTTTTTTCAGAATTGATGAACATAAACGAAGCTAGTCTTTACTCGTGTTACAGAAGAGTACAATATGAACAGACAAATAATCAAAATTCTGCGCTCATTACCAGCAATTATCTTATTGATCAGCACGTCAAGCCTTATGCTAATGGTTCTTTCTCGTCATGTCAAAATAGAAGTCACAACATTAAATGAAATCTCAAAAACAACAGTTGAAACAGAATTACCACCATTAATCATTACGGCCTTCCATAGAACAAAATATATCACAACCGTTCCGACCGAAACTTCCACAATAGGTAATACAACGGTAAAACCCCGAGTGTTGTTTGATGAAATTATTAATCCACATCCATATAGATATAAACGTATACCATCCCGTGTTTGTAAATCTACCGGTAATCATGTTGACCCAAGTTTATTAATTTTAGTAAAATCTAATGTTTTTCAAATTGGACATCGCATGGCTATCCGAGCAACTTGGGGGAATTTTACAAACAGTTCAATACAAATAGCGTACTTATTAGGGGATTCACCGCTTATCACGTCATTTACTAAGATGGAATATGATTTGTATGAAGACATGGTCCAAGAGGACTTCATCGACGAGTATAAAAACAATACTCTGAAGACAATAATGGGATTTAACTGGGCTGTGTCTGACTGCAGTCAAGCTAAGTTTGTTCTGTTTGTAGATGATGACTACTATGTAAATATACCACTTCTTCTAGATCTTATTGAAAATATTACTGAATCTGAAAACGAGGATGTGTTCATTGGTTTTAAGTATGAACATGCTGTAGTTCGTAGAAAGAAAGATTCTAAGTGGTACGTATCTACTGACGAGTACCCTAACAAACATTGGCCTCCATACGTTAGTGGTGGATCTATGTTACTGTCTATGAATGTGGTAAAAGAATTAACAAAGACCTTCCCTCACGTGAAACAAATATTTATTGATGATGTCTACCTCGGAATAGTAGCTGAAGTTCTGAACATAACACTCACACATGACAAAAGATTTGAAGTAAAATATGTCCCTGAAAAACTGGACACGTTAATAACTAGTCACGACTACGGCTCGCCGAATGTTCTCGTACATGAATGGAATATTGACGATGAAGATGATGCAATATCAACTGTGGAACAAAACTCATGAACTTCATAAGATGCACAATAAGTTCAAATGTGTTCCAGTATATCATCGATATCCGTGTTGAATAGTTCTTTGGTGAAAAATGCGTATAATTCCAATTCATTTTGTCAATGAGATAAGAAGACATATAACATTGTAAAGGAGAACACAATGAAACCCATTTATATTTCGCTATTTGAGCAAGAAGTGTAACGGAAAACAAACTGTAATTGTTACAGCTGTTTCGTCTACCTATATCTAAGGATTTTAAGGATAACAGCTGCTTGCATAAAAAGTTATTCTACAGCTTAGCTTATGTTTACCAATCATCAAATGAATAATTTTAGCTGTTCGAACAAACTAATGAAGTAAACTAAGTTTGAAGGATGACTTCAACAATGTATCAATCAAATAATGACAAGTATTTTATATCTTTCCGTATATAAATGACAACCATTATCCAACACCATGAACACTTATTCATATAACATCTAATATTTTTAAAATCATATTTGTCAGAGAGGGTGTACGTATCGGCGGATTTCGATTGTTTTTTTAAATAGCAAGTGACGGTTTTATTGAACAAAATACACACGGGGCTTTAATTTGACCCGAAATTTTCAAATTACCATAAGGTAAAACAAAGGACAATATTACCTTTTCATTAGCTTTATTTTAAGCTTAATTTCTTAAGCAAAAATACATTCAGCATGTTTGATAATCTCGGGATTATCAGTACATCATCAATATATCTTAATTTGATTTTGATTTTTGGTGTTTTAACGCCACTTTTAAGCACCGCTTTTGGGCTATTTCGTGGCGGCCAGTTTTTATTGGTGGAGGAAGCCGGAGTGCCCGGAGAAAACCACCGACCTTCGATAGGAAAACTGACAATCCTAGTCAATTAAGATTGGAGTCGAGTGCACCCGCACGAGCGGGGTTCGAACTCACAACCTCAGTGTTGACTGGTTAGTGATTCAATATATCTTAGTAATAGTACTTGTTTACTTTAATTTTACTATATTTTATCATTACATATCCTGTCATAACAAACTTTAACTATTGTTAAACAAGAAAACCTTTCATATGTCTGCACATGTCCAGGAACAATATGTTATATATCTTTTAGGACTTAAGTAAACTCGGGTATTATTAAAACAGAAGAATTCGAGACATGTTTTAACGAAAGCCCATTCAATTAGCTTACCAAATTTATTTTTTATCAGAATATGGGAAAGAATACAGCATAATTTAAATAGAAACATCACAACTGTTAACGAAAATCACACCACTGTTTACTGCACATCCGCTAGTACTAAGGCATTGATTATTGTAGCTTAGATCTTCTTCTAAATATTTTTGATATTCAGTCCCTTCATGTACATGGTAATCTGCATGTGCGGGATGTGCAAGTACGCAACCACGCCAGGGTGAGAATTGGCCCGTTAAATCCGATGCCTCGAGTAGAGAGAGTGCCAAGCTCTCTGCACGTTAAGAACCCTTGCAACAAGTCTTTGAGGGGTCCGTGTTGGTATATTGCAAGGCAAAATGTCTCTCCCTATCCAATATACCCTCAGTTTACAGTGGATGTCAAAGGTTCACCGACCTTTATCACGGACGGCCTCTATTAGAGGATCTACCTATTGTATTTTAATGTTAATTTGTTCTCGTCCTGAACATGCATAAGATATTTCCATTGGACGTAAAGCAACTAACAATGAATCAATCATCACTCTATAAGACGTTTGTTATCAATGTTTATTACTCTATAAGTTGTTTTTTTTCAATCTTTTCTTGTTTGCATCACTTGGTACAACGCGAAAAAAGATAAGCAGTCTGTCAGACTATTAGACTGTTTGACTAAATAATGTCAAATTATCGGTAATCCCCAGTTTGAGCTTGGAAATTCATACTTTTTTTTATAAAGCCTGGTTCTTATTGATGAAATATCCTTAGTTAATCTGCTTGAAATTCTTCAAAGTAAAACTATTCTGCGAAAATAGAATCTGATTTGTTTAAATAATCGACCTTATCCAAGATTTTTAAAAAGTAAACCTTCGTCCAATTCACTCAAATTTAAAGGGTCGAAAATGTAAAGAATGTGTTCAAGAAGAATGTATCATAGTGACGCAAATATTTATGTGCACGACATCTTTCAAAAAACATATTCTCACATTTTCTCTTCATAAAGGTACACACTATAAGGTTTTGATTAGAGTGAGCAACGATTAAAATTTGGGGGTGGTCCGACAAGAAAAGAGGGCGATGTTAAAAAAGAAATAAATAAAAAAATAATGAAGGACAGGCTACCAGATTGGCCAAAAATATTCCTTTATTCATTAAATATTGGATGATATTTACATATATGCATACATGTATATGGTGTGCTGCTTGGATTTGTATTTCCAGAGGTAAAAAAGTACCAATATCTGAATATCTGAGAGATGTTCAAGGCATAAGTGTCAGTATATAAAAGCATTGTGCTGAAAATAATATGTCAAAATACAAAACAATATAATTAAAATATAAATCTGTGATTTCGTTATGCTCATACTTCAACGAGTAAGCGAGTTACGATGGATCTGAATTGTAATCGGATTGCATAGAAAAGAGATTATAAAAGAGGGACGAAAGATACCAGAGGGACAGTCAAACTCATAGATCGAAAACAAACTGACAACGCTATGGCCAAAAATAAAGTAATGTTTGACTCAATACGTTTGAATACATTGATCTAAACCAAAAGTCACAAGAACAGCACTTAAAAGATTGAGTATTGTACCTCTCAACCGCACTGTCTATAATAGATGATGACGAAGCTTAGCAGTACAAAGTACCAGTATCTTGTGTATTTTCTCATGCTTCAGATAATATATTACATAGGAGGAAAAGAGTAAAGTTTCACCTCTAAAACATGTCGAAACTATTCCTTGGTTATCTTATACAGGGAAAGTGACACGTTTTCTTAGTATGGCATGAAGGTTGACGCATGTATAGCAGACAACGCTTTCCTTACTGATGCATGCGTTCTCTCCTCAGGTTTTGATGATATTGTACACTCCTAGCGAATTTATATATCAGATTTGAACATTGGTAAACTGCTGAAGCCTCTATGACCAAAATCGAAAAAAAAACATAATTTGTGTTGAATGTTTCCCTACCGACACCATTTAGTATGCCGAAAAATGCATGGCCTAAAAGGTATTTTTTGTTGTTGTATTTTTTGTAATGAATCGGTAATCCCCATATACAAAAGAAAAAGATATGAAAATTTTAAAATAAATTCCTACCTTCCTACCCTATATTTCTAAGGACACCCTGGAGACATTTTGTTTGTCCGGATTTGAAATATAAATCAAATTAATATACTAATAATCTGTGTCTTTTGTTGAAGATGCTATAATTTTATGAATCCGAAAGGTTGAAATCATTACATTTAATAAAGTGCTTTTACACAGGCAAATTTTGCTCACGTGAAATTCGAGCTTAAGGATGTTCGTTACTTTTTTTTAAATAACAAGCTATTTAAAAGACTGTAATAAATTGATAAAAAAAAGGAAGATGTGGTATGATTGCCTATGAGACAACTCTCCACAAGAGCCCAAATGACACAGAAATTAATAACTATATATAGGTCTCCGTATGGCATTCAACAATGAGTAAAACATATACCGCATAGTCAGCTATAAAAGGCCCCGAAATGAAAAATGTAAAACAATTCAAACGAAAAAACTAACGACCTGATTTATGTACAAAATAATTAACGAAAAACAAATATGATATACAGCAACAAACGACAACCACTGAATTCCAGGCTCCTCACTTGCATGGGACAGGCACATACAGGATGTGGCGGGGTTAAACTAGTTAGATAGCGCCAAAACTTCCCCCTAACCTGGGACACTAATGATAGTTTATTTATATCGGAACTAAAAATGCCGAAAAAATGCAAGGCCCGTATCCTTGGTTTTGAGATATAATCATTTGAAAATCTGGCGGGAAATGATTCTCTCTAGATTTTTCATATAATAAAAGGATTTTATAAGATTTTCAAAAATGTTTTGTTAAACTGTATGTAATTCAAAAAGTAATGATTATCGGGCACAATTTTTTTATGGCACCGCATGGACAAAACCAGAGGATTCTGAATACCTGACAAAAAATTAAAAAAAAACAAACTAGCGAACATCCTTAAATGTGAAACTAGCGTGAACATTTTCACGTTAGTTGAGATTCATAAGAATTTCACGTGAAACTTTACCAAAAAAAAAAAAATAAATAAATAAATTTAATTTCTTGATTTTAATTAAATTTGAAAATCTAGATGTTATTTGAATAACTTTATTTTTAAAATTCACGTTACGAAATAATCTCATCGTGATTTTGAAATTCAACTATTTGAAATATAACTCTCTGTGCAAACAGTGTTCGAAAACTATTGCTGCCTTACGCTTTTTATAAGCAGTTTCTTTTAAATTTACTTCCATTCTCTTTGCAACGTAACTTGTCATCTCATATATCACATCCATTATATCGATACGGTTTATCATGTTAATCTGTAGAGCTTTCAAATGTTTGTCCATTGCATTATACAAAGATATTAACATCCAACCACCATTTATATAACTATCGTGCCTCCCGTAAGACTCCTTTTCTGTAAAATATAGGACAAACGGTACATATTTGTTGAAATAATTTATGAACATCTTCCATTCATTTATTTCAAGAGATACTAAATCTGTCGTTTGACATTAACTGTATTTTGTTGTTCGGGGGCCTGTTTATCGAAGCTGTCCTAGGATCGCCTAAGACTTCTCTTAGGAATAAATTGGAATAATGTTAGGACCGACTTACGACATGTCTTAACATGCACATCGAAGCTATCTTAGGACTATCTTAGCTAGGATGTCCTAACCGCTGTCCTAAGTGTTAGCGTAAAGAAAAATAGGAATTTAAAAAATTTGTATGTTTAAGAATGCATTGAATTTCATCAGTATTAAATAATTCTTATCTAATAATGGGACATTCAAACTTCATGAAACAAAAACAAAAACACAAAAAATGTAACAACGTTTTATATAATAATTGATCAAATTATTTGTAAACAGCAGTAACAGTGAAAACTAATAAAAGACAATCGGTAACAATCATTATGTATTTTTGAGTGAGTTTAATTCGAAGCATGGTTTAAGGCAAATCTTGTGCATCTTTCATAAAAATACGGAATACATACATTATTTCATTACGGATCACATGCGCTTGGGTAATGGACCCCCTTTTCTGAACTTTTTTAAAAGTAAATATTTTTCAATATTTTAATGTACATATATTTTATGTGTTTGGTATACATACGATGCCCTCTAATATGCCTATTTTCCACGTCGAAAATATGAATAGAGGGGTGTTATATATATACTACTGCTTTTGCAATAATTTTTGGAAAAGAGCAAGAACACATTAAATAAATGA